CCATCAGAATCTGCTACATGCCACAGATAGCTGCACCAAAGCCAAGGGAGTTATGCCAGGCACACCAGGTGCCCTTGGATCACACTTCACATTTTGTTGAGCAAGACAATTAAGCCAATGGATATTTTCTAGCTGTTTCTATGATGTTTAGCAGTTTCCCAACAGCCCCCCCTGCACAAACGGGTGCAACCTTCTCTTTTGTACAGAACCATTTTATTGAATGGGCTGTCAAGATCAAGCCTTGATGACTCCCCCAGTCGTGAACTAAAATTACTCCTCTGAGCAAACCACCATCCCAGAAAATGACTGGGTATGGGAATTTTCCCAACATTTTCTGAGCAAAGTGGAAAGAGAGCAATAGGTAGGAAAAGAGACATAAAAGAAGGGATGCAGCTATGGCAGTAGAAAAAGTCAAAGCTAATGAGCACTGATAACCTAAGCTCTGTGAAAATGGGAGAGAACACACTGGTTTTCTTTGGCGCCAGGTCTGCAAACCTTTTTAGTGTCTTTAATGGGTTTAGCATATAAAATTCAATTTCTGTTATCAATTTACACAGCAACTAAGAGTCCCAGTAGTGCAAGAAATCATTCCTTTCCCACTCTTCAGCCATATGCACCATTTGGAGAGGCCCATCTCCAAGATCATCAGGGATCATGTCACTTGCCAGGCACACAACACAAGATGCTACTGCCTCGCAGCAATCTCCCTGCCAACAGCAGCCAGAGGGATCACACAGGGACCTGCATTTTGCCAGCGTTAAGGTAAACCTCCAGGAAGCAATATGAAATTCAACAGCCAATCAACATGATGCCAAATTTTCTGCAAGGTTTCCAATGCTGGACCACAGGCAGTTGCATCTGCATCATTAAAACTGGTTCGTTTTGTTGCATTAAAGCCACAAATCAGGCACGTGACAGTAATGAGGAAGAGACATTTATTCAACTTTCTGGCCAGATAGACCAATTAAAACTGTATGTCTGAAAACAGTCGCTTTAAACTGTGCATCCAAGGATCCGCATGTTCCGTATTCCGCAGGCAGCTGTCATGTGGCAGTTGTAAATCTGCAGCCACATCTCCATTGGTGTTTATTTTTAATGCAATCTCTCCTGCCTGCAAGGCTAAGGCAAATAAGAAAACCTGTCTCCTAAAAGTACCCTTAAATATTTTCTTTCTTGTACAGTCCAGCAAGCATCTCCTGCCAGTGCTGGGGCCAGCTCGCCCCTCTCCCAGCAGCTGAAAGCAGCAGCAGAGGGGAAGGGCAGAGCCATGGATAACTGACAAGAGAGCCCACACCGTGGGAAGGAGGCTGTCAGCGCTGCGTCTGTGCAGCAGAGGTGAGAGCGGGAGGACTCCATGCACGGGCAGACGGCAAATGCTGCGCAGAGCTGCAAGGACAGCGCCTGCAGCAGCCGCAGACAGAAGCCATCAGCTATTCCCACTCCCAAAAGCAGACTGGCACCGAGCCAGAGCCTCAGGCACCCTGCAGAACTGCCAGCCTCCTGTCACTAGGTCCCAGCCATCAGCCCCCGGTCCCCCGTGACACCCAGGAACAGTGTGTGCAGCAGGGCACTCACACAGACCTGCGCACACCCCACACACCCCCTCTATCTTTTCCAAGCATTTTCAGGACAACTTCCCACCGTGAGAGGAGCAGACACAATTCTCCAGGGAGAGAAAGAAGATACAGAGCCATTATGGTTGATAAATCACCCTGTGCACAAAGATTATTCCCCAGTTCGACCCTCCTCCCACCAATCGCACTCCCCACACAGCACATGGGCTCCTCGATTGCCGTACTGGGGCTGCAGCGCCCGGAGCACAGCAGGTCAGGCAGGGCTCAGCTCCCACACTGCAGCTACTGAGAGGTCATCCCCAAACCATCGCAGCCCTTGCTCTACTTCGCAACAGCCAGAGCTAGAGGCTTCAGCAAAACATTCCCAAAATCAATCTAAGGAACTATGTCCCCCCACCATTCATTCTAGGTGTCCTCCAGCACTGAAGTTTTACACACCTCAGGCGCTGTTGGAAGGTCATTACCTCACCCAGCACTAGCTGACACCTCACACCAGCAGCACCCTGCCCACTTCCAATCCTCTCCAACATCCATCTTCAAATGCACTTCCAATGCAGCTCTGTTGGAGCTACTTCCCTTCCACCCATGCTGGTGTATGCCCTGGAGCTCACGTGTAGGGTTTTCCACCTTTCTCCCTGCCATATTCCTGACCATGCCATGGGGACCAGCACTGTGCTCTGTTCAAATTCCAGCCCTGTCCTCCATATAAGACATCACTTCTTCAAATTTTCACCTTTTTTCATTTTCATATGTCAGCATTTCTGTGTCGACACTTAGGTCGTTAGTCCCCCTTGCTGCCACTTCCCCTTTTATTTCTCACTATTTCTCTTCCATTTTAGTCTATTTCTGGAGGTTTGGGCATCCATCTTTACCAAGGGGATAGATATGAATGAACAACGACTCAATCCCTGAAGGAAATAAACGGGGTATCTGGGATAATGAGGCAGCCTATATCCAACCCTTTGGGAGAGCCAGGGGAGACCAGGCCCAACCGCAGGGGAGCATAAGTGAATGGATCATGGTCACTGTCACAGCCCCAGACAAGGTTTAGATGGTGACACGCCCTCCCCACGTGAGGTTCACACACAGCTCCGTCATGTCGCACACATGACACACCCCTGAGCACAGAAAAGCCCCCCTCCCTCCGCAGCAGCTCCTCGGCCGCTGGCCCCCCTTGTGTCCCTGTGAGCACAGTGACCAACTGCTGCCTTCTCACCAAACCTGTCTGCCCACTCACATTTGCTTCCACTGCTCCTGTACAGTGATGAAGCACAAGCTACAGCAGAGCTCTGAACCAACCCCTCCAGACTCACACCACTATCCCCATCTCAGTGTAGCAAGATGGGAAGGTCAGAGATGCGCTGGTCCTACAGGGAAGTGACAGTGACAGGGATGGCTGTCAGGACACAGCTGTGAGCATTGGAGACCATGCATCTCACCAAGGTTACCCCAAAACCACCCTGGTCCTGTGACAGACCTGATGTGTCCAGGGACAGAGCTGCCACCTCCTCGAAGGCAGCAGGCCAGCAGCACATGTGGCTGTTGGGTCTGACTGTGCCCACCTCACCCCAGCTACAGGCGCAGTTACACCCTGCCCATATCCGAATCAGCCTTTATTCAGGTGAAAACACACACCAAGTACCCTACATCAGGAAACAGACGTTCCTGGAGGTGTAACTAGGCACAGAACAGCATCAAGGAAATTATTACTGGCCCATCAGCAAACTGTCTGTGTTACAGCTGCCCAAAACACGATTGCAGGGGTGCAATAAAACACCCTCACACGTACTCCAGCATTAACAGCCTCACATATGGAAACCATGAGGCTACAGAAGCCAGGTCAAGAATGATCCCGGCACATGAGTACTCCAGTTACAAACAACAATCAGAAAAAACACTGGAGACGCCTGCAATGAAGCTTTGGAACAGCTCAGAGCCACTCCTGCCCCAGCAGCCCCTGTGCACCCTGAGCACCCAAGAAGCAGAAACAAGCCGGCCCAGGACATCTCGGAGAACGACAGGGAACAATGGGACAGTCTCTAGGAAAAAATGCAAATCCCCTCCCGTGAAACGAACAATACCACATGCTAAAAGAATATTTCATCTGCTTAACTGCAGGGTGCAATAACATCAATTTGCCCAAATTACGCACAAGCAGAAAGGTAATTGGCACCGAGTAGAGTGTGTTGTGACTGTTCAGTCACTCTTTGAGGCCAGCTACAAAAGACTGAAATGCAAGAAAGTAAACAATGGCATGAAACCAACAGCCAGCCCCTTCCCCAGAATCCCTCCCTCTGGCATGGCACTGCCGCAGTTAGGCAGAGACTTCCAAGAGGAGTCTGTGCAGACCAGCCATCACCCAGTTGAGCTGGGATCTGCAGAAAAAGGGAAACTGTTGAGTTTGAACAAGCATGGATTAAATCTGCAGCAAAGCCATTTTTTACATTTTAATTAACTCGGTCTTAGACTTAAACATAACAAAGTGGTGAACACATATCCATATAAAAGAATTGAGCAAAGGGAGAGCAGAGACAGTTTTATATAATAGCAGGGGGACTGAAGAGGGACACACAAGGAAAAGGCATGAGGTAAGCAGCTGAGTATCCTCTAGCTGAAGGTGGGAAAAGGAATTGTCATCAAATAACAGAATTAGCAATCGTTGCAACAGTGAGTAGATTTATAAACTGAAGTTATCAAAAAATATCTGTTAATACAGTTTGTTACAGACACTTAAAATTCCTGGGTGTGCAACACAGAGCGGGTTACACCGGCTCATTTTCCTCTGCCTCCATCCAGCTCAGCCCTTCCCGGGGCTGCAGAGCTGCCATGTGTCACAGGGTACCAACTTTCCTTCGTAACAAGAATTAACTTGGAGCCTGGGATTTGACGCTTGGTGGTCTCAACAGACAGAACCTCTAGTTTTAATCCTCTCCAACTATCAGGAACGCAGCGGCTGCCGCACAGCTCCGCACCCCGCACCAGTACCGGCACTTGCATAATAATGACTGCGGGCCTGGAGGCGCGGGGCCGGAGCACCAAGGCGAAGTTCCTTACATAAGGACCGCAGGATCGATGCGCTGCTCGCCGTGAGGCCGCGGGCAGGGCTCCCGACACCGCACAGGCCCGGGGCTGCCTCCGACCCCCGGCCCCGCTCCCCTCCCCCGGGCGGGCGCTGCCCAGCGCGGCTTCGGGGGCTGAACGATCGCCGCCCACCCCCGCACGCCAAGTGCCCGCACGGTGATGGCACCGCCGCCCCCCGCGCCCGCAGCGCCCGGCGAGGGCCGGGGCTCCCGCGGCCGGCGGTGCCGCAGCGCGGGAGGGGCGGGGGTCGGCGGCGCAGCCCCTGCGGCCGGAGCCGGCCCGTCCCCGCCCCGCCCCGCACACAAAGACGGCCCCGCCGCGCCCCGCACCGGCCCCGCTACGCACCTTTGACCTGCGCCTCGTAGTCGGCGATGATCTCTTTGTCCTTCTTGAACTTGCCCTGCGCTGACATCGTGCGGGAGGGCGCGGGTCCCGCCGGGACCGCCGCCCGCGGCGCTCCTCCACCACCTCAGCCGGCCGCGGCCCCGCCGCCGCCCGCGCCCGCCGTCATTGGCGGCGCCGGGGACACCGCGCACCGCCCGCACCGCGGGGAGCGCGGAGCCGGCGGAGCCGACACAGCCGAGCAGAGCCGAGCAGAGCCAGGCAGGGCGGAGACGCGTTGAACTGGGCTGGGCTGGGCTGAGCTGAGTCGAGCTGGGCTGAGCTGAGCCAAACTGAGCCGAGCCGTGCCGAGCCCAGCCGAGCCGAGCGCAGCCGCTCCCGCCGCCGGCCGAGGCGGGGCCCTGGCGCCGCTCCCGCGCTCAGGTTGCGCGCGGGGCGGGGCGTCTGCGGCCCCCGCCCCGCCGGGCTCGGTTCGGCCCCGCCGGGCTCGGTTCGGCCCCGCCGGGCTCGGTTCGGCCCCGCCGGGCTCGGTTCGGCCCCGCCGGGCTCGGTTCGGCCCCGCCGGCTCGGCCAGGTGCCCTACACGTGCAGAGCCCGCCGAGCCGGCCCCGCCGCTGCCGGTGGGTGCCGATTACCCCGGTTCCCACCCCGCGGGCGGCGTCGTCGCTGTCCCCGCATGTCCCCGCTCCCGGAGCAGCCCCTCCTCAGCCCAAGGCTCCGGCCCCATCCGGACGCCTCCGGGCCAGCAGGACTGCACTGGGGCAGATTTCTCACTTCTTGTTAAAATGAGGAAAAAAAGGATAAAGTGTTCGTTCCAGCAGAAGCAGCAACAGTGCTTAAGGCTCTTCCAGGGGTCTTGGCTGAGCAGTCGGAAGCCGGTGCCATGAAACCCCACACACTCATCCGAGCCCTTGCGCCAGCCATGCTGCAGACTCGGCTTCTGCAGATCCACAATCCACTGAGTGGCTCCTCTGTCCAGCTCCAGCCATGCTCCGACCACTGCTCTGCACAATAGGTCCTTTTGTGGGTGTCCCGTGAGGAGTGAATTCAGGGAGATTTGATGATTCAGTTACAGCTTACAAAAAATAACCCCAGCCCATTACACAAATAATTTACCTAGTGCGAGCAGGCGGCACAGAGGAGCATTCTGCATCCCAGCGGCCGGGAAAGGCCCAGGGAGGAGAGAGACAAAGCAATCACTTCCAGAGAAGCACAGCCGCTGCGGAGCACAAGGCCCAGGGTCAGGGCTAAGCCGGTCGCTCCTGCTCCAGGAGGGCCCCAGGGAGGGCACAAGCTGTGCCAGACCCTCACTGGCACAGGGAGAAGCAGAGCACAGGGACTGCAGGGCAGGGAGGGCACAGGGACAATGGCCATGAACATGGGTCAGTGTTTTGTGGCGGGGCAGGAGCAGCCAGAGAGCGTGTGCTGGTCCCTCTGGCCACTTGTGCACCGTGGGGGACACAGGACGACACGATGCTCCAGCGCCAGCATTTAGGGGACAAACTCCTCTGTGGGGTGAGCAGGCAGGGCCAGCAGCTGGCAGGGCCTGAAGTGACAGGGACACACGACAGCGATCCGGTGGAGCTGCCCCGTGGGATTCTCCTTGTGCTGGTGTGCCAAACCACGGAGCAGTCAGGCTCCCAACCTGGCAGCTGCAGAAGTGGAGGAGGGAGCCGGGGGGAGCGGGACAGCCTAGGCACAACCCGGGGAAGCAGTGGTGTTCTGTGAACCCCTGATCTGACAGCTGGCACAGGTGAATGAGGGAGCCAAGTGGGGAGGCTAAACAAGAGTAAAGACCTGACAATGGAGGGCTGGGTGCACCCAGCACAAAAGAGGCAGGAGGAGAGAAGTGGGGACAGAAAGAGGCTGTGAGCAATCCTGATGTGAGCTGGAAGGGTGCAAGAGGGACCTGGGCGCAGGAGCTGCTTCCCTGGTCTCGGCAAGGACATCAGTGGAGTGTTGACACGTCAGCTGAGAGAGCTGGGAGGTCTGGGGGCACAAACAGCAATTGCTAAACTGAGATAATGGAAAGGAGCAAGAGAGGAAAAGCCATTGATCTGTGATGGGGAAGCCAGGAAACTGTGCCCACTCTGTGCCCAAGGCTGTGTAAACCCTCAGGAGGGCAGGCAGCAGGCTGGCTGTCTGCTCTCACTGGTTTGGGTTGCATCACTCACCAATACACTAAGGATTTTGTGTCAAAACATCTTTGAAACACAATTTACCTTGGTCTGGGCAGTTTCTCAGGACTGAGAATGGCAAGATGAGGCGACAGAGCCTGCTGGCAGTACAACTCGTTATTGGTTAGATGGATGATGCACAAGGCAGACAAGAACAAGTCAAAATGCTGTGTGGAGGGAGGTGGCTGTGAGATGAACTTATCTCCCAAATAGTGCTTAGGTTGGGTGAGGAATTTTTGATGGTGGGCAACATAACAGCTGACATGGGGAAATGGAAGAGATATCAGAGCTCTATTAAGCTGTTAGCGGCTGTGGTAAAGGTAAAGAGAAAAATAACACACATTTTTTACAGAACGGGAACATGATGTCGTGTTCTTTCAAAGCCAGTACCACTCTGAGGGGACCTTACAGTTTGGAGCTTGCTCTCCACAAATAAACCCCAAACAAACAGGAAAAGAGAAGCACGGGCCACTTTACAATGGATTCATCCCAGCGGCAGTCACTTCACCTTGCAACACCCACAGGGATTCGGAGAGCAAAGACCAACATTTCCTAAAACAACCTGTGCCACAGGACAGATTTTTATTTTCTTGCCAGATTGGTTCAAACATATGAGGCCCCTTCTAAGGTCAAAGCCAAGAGTCTAAGGGTGTTACACATCTTTTACCAGGGTGGTCCCCAATATAGTGGTGAAAGAAAAAAACCCAAACAGTCATGAAATGATCCAGAAGCGTCAGGGGGTTTTGTTACTCAGATACCATGAAGAATAAAGCAGCAGCAATGGCTGAAGAAAAATAATCCAATCATAAATTAATGATGTTTAATAAATATCAACATTTGGATCATTTGTGGAATTTCAAATTAAAACAGCTTCTTAAAAGGAAGGATTACATTCTAATTCACTTTGTGACACTTCCAACACAGAATTTTTAAATGAAGAATGGGATGGGATGGAATGGGATTTAATCATAATAAACACTTCAAGCTAGAGGTATAGAGAAACCAACAGTAACTATGGCAACGTGGTCACTCCAGTAAGGCTAATGCAGATTATTTCCAGGGCAGTAGCCTTGTGTGTGCTCAGGAAGCAGAGGTAATGTTGGCTTAAAGCAATTCCTAAATTAAGGAAAATTCTTTAGGCAGAAGCTGTCTTGCACTCTTTGTTTCCAGCTTCAGACTGCAAGTGTTTCATCATGTGCTGAACATAACACACAGCGGCCTCAGCAGGGTACACAAATGCTGCTTCCAGAGAGACACTTGTGTACATTGCCATAAGTCAGGCAGACCCTCTGGTCATGGATTCACAGACTGGTTTGTGTTGGGAGGAACCCTGAAGCTCACCTCATTCCAACCCCCTGCCATGGGCAGGGGCACCTTCCACTAGGCCAGGTTGCTCCAAGCCCCGTCCAACCTGGCCTTGGATACCCGTGGAGCATTGCAAGGGAAGGCTGAGGCCAGGCTGGAGGCCTCACCAAGCCACAGCTGATATGAACACTGAGCTGTGTGTTGAAACCTTTCACAACCTCATGCCAGTGCCACAGCTGCAGCACTGCCACCAGTTACCCAGCCCAGAGAGTAAGGCAGCTCATGCGACATGACCCCAACTCTCCCTTGGTCTTTCTGCCTTCCTGAGGTCTCTGAAAGGCAGAATCTCCTGTGCCGTATCTTGGGCTGATGGAGTTGGGGAACGAGGACAACCTTGACATTGCTGAATCCTCTGCAGCCTCTCTAGGAAGCTGCTGTAGATCCCTACTTGGTAAGAGCAACTCTTCCAGTCCAGACCTGGAGGTCACCAGGAGGTGTGGGCTCTGTCTTGGGCTCGTGAGACTTGCAGCAAACCAACCAGAGTGAGAGAAAGTGCCCACGCAGGAGAGTGCTTGGCTGTAGCAGGGTCATCTGGGGAATGAAATCTCTGTGAACCCAGCCCTGCTGGCTGTCTGCTCTGCAGGAATGGCACAGCTCTAATACAGCCGGACTGCTGGGGAAAGACTCCCATACGCTCATTTCCCAGTGCAAGAAATAAATGGTTGAAGACATGTAACATAGAAGTTGTTTGTGCAGCACTACATCACCTTTGGTTTTTTTTGAACCTTACATCCTCTTTCCTGCCAGCAAAGTGCTGTTATCTTGTCATATTAACAAAAGAACTAGTTCTCCCTCTGTTCCCTTTTTTATCTGTGTAGTGAAGTGCCATCATAACTTGGCACTGACCTGCCTTTTCACCCAAAATAACTGCAGCTGAAGACAAGTCTTGATTTCTGTATGCAGACACATGTTTCTTTTCAGGGAAAGCATCCCAGAAGTTTGCTTTTTATTTTTACTTTATATGCGTTTCCAACAGCTCAGTTGTAAGTAGAAGGATATCCTCCAAAAATATGAGTTTAAGGTTCTTGCAGCCATGAATATTCAGAGAAGCAACAGAGCACTCTAAATATGCACCCACCTCAATCTCTGCCTTTTCACTGTTACCATTTTAAGCCTTTGTCATACCAGAAGAATTCAGCGTTACACTGGTCAATAATTCAAATCACTCTAAGAAATGGGAATATTTATTTGTGACTAAAAGCACATGGAATTATGATCAACAACTTGGCAACAGCAATAATCCCCGCAGCTCTAATTCTCCTGTAAAAGGCATTGGAGACACAAGCTACTCAGAACCTGCTGTAACTGCATGAGGCCACAGTTGCACTGCACAGACGTTATCAGTGGTGAAAGGGCTCTTGTGAGCAGTTTCCTGCTAGGGATCTGTTACCCCTGTTTCCTCGGGGAGATTGCCCACACCCTGTGGTCAAAGCTGCGCTTTGGTTTCCCTGCTGTGACCATCAGCTTCCGCTGGTGCCTGTGCAGCCTCTGCTCTGGGAAACAGGCACCCTGTGCCCACACCCAGGCTCTTTAGGAAGGACATCCCCTGCACAAGGCTGGCATTTTTGTATTAATATTCAAGGTGTGCATCTGAAATCCAAGCAACTGTTTAAGTCCTGCCCACAGGATGGGTTGTTGCCCTTTGCCCTGGACTAAAGCCCCCAAAGAAGTGCTTTTGCACAACAACTCTTTGGGAAAAGTGACAGGACCCATCTTCTAGTTAACT